TCCGGAAAAGTAAATTGAACAGTCTCTCGTTAAGAATAGCATTATCGTAGTTGTCAATTCAATGCGTCATCTATGGAATAAAGCAAAAGTTGGAAGGTAGCGTGGTAAGAGATATTTGAAGAGATTTACAAGTCGACATTTTTTTTGCGGTTCTGAATATGGCTCTACTGCCTCTTTTGAATTGATCAATATATGTGATAGTAGCAATGTTGTTAGTGTTGTTCTTGTGTAAATAAACAAAACGATAATGGCATCATAACAAACTCATAACGAAATATGCATTAGTATACGGAAACGAAAGACTTTGAAAAACAAATGTTTTCATGGCACTCAAGTGTCTTTTAAGCATTGTCAAAACCACTTACATATACCGAAGATTGTGAAAGCCTTCAGTCAATAATATCGGGTAAGCACTTAAAGCTTGGGAGAAACCTGTATGGCAGTGTTTTATGTTTCGTTCGAGTGTCTAAAATGTTCAATGATCCCCTCTTGAGATGCTCGTTAACAAACAGTGAGTGCACAGGTGCTCTATTAAACCTTCCGCAAATCCTTCAATGTGTAAATGAATCATCTATGCTGTGCAGGCAACAAACCCCAGTGTGTTGATCGGTTATACAAGTTATTCGAATTATGAGATTAAGATGATGAAACATTCTATGTTATTTCAAGTCTTTCGGCTTCTCTGCAAATCTTTAACTTGTTATGCAACACTTAATATTATGTTTTATGCACAAAATATTTTAAATATTTATTCTAACATAACGACTCCGTGTTAACTATTTCATTTTTCGAATAAATCAAGAAAAAGGACATAATCCCAAAGGATGCAGGATTTTTGTTTGAAACCATCAACAAATGAATATAAAAAAATCTGCCAAAAGAGATTTGGTTAGTTTGATAATTAATTTAATGAAATATGCTATTAAGAATAGAAGAACTTGAGCAATGTTATGCGAAACCATTGTTAAATTCTTAACAGTTTTGTGTTGAGTAATCATCATGCCATTAAGGTTTTCATTTTTTACAAGTTGAAAATAATTTAGAATTTCAGAATGTGGCTAAATCAATAAATAGTTTGACGTGTGCTGGTTTGAAGGATCAATGTTGTTTATTTCCACACGCGTATTCAGCGTATTTCCTCAAAGGCAGTACCTTAATCCTAACTTGGGTCAGGTTATATATGATCCGGTTCTTTAAAGTCCAATAAGAACAATTAAATCCACATTTTACATTGCACAATAGCATCTAGCATTCTTTGACAAAAATGGGGTTTAGGATTTTCAAGAATGAAAGCCACTGTGAAAGTTTATGTTCAAAATTCACTTTAACGTGCAACATTTACTTTCACATTCAACATCTACTTTCACATTCAACATCTACTTTCACATTCAACATCTACTTTCACATTCAACATCTACTTTCACATTCAACATCTACTTTCACAATCAATATTCTGTTCCACATTCACTTGTACATTGTATGTTCAATTGTCATCTTTCAAAAGTTATTTTTAATCTTTTGAAGTTGAAGAATGCATTCACTTATGTTATAGACTTTTCGTTATTTTTACTTTCAAAGTACACTTTGCGTACGCTGAACGTATTATCTTATACGTTCAACATTTATTTATTTTTGTTGACTTTACTTTTTGGTCATTTTGTTTTGTTTCTTATTTACGTTAATCATTAGTTTTCACGTCCAACGTTCTCTTTCACGTTCAGCATTCACTTACCATTGACTATTCACCATCACGTTCAACATTGAATTTTACGTTGATCTTTAACTTTCAATATCTACTCTCGCAATCAACGTTGTCTTTATATTCAATGTTTGGCTTTACGTTCTGTATTCATTGTGGGACTAAATAGATTTGCTATAAGAAATACATGGCGAAGTTGAATTGTGTTGTACTTCATACAAATGATCAACTGCTTCTATAGATTTTGAGAAAAACTGTTTTAAAATGATGCTTCCCCTATTCAGTTTGAGCTAAACAGTGTTCAAATGATGACTTTCTTAAACAGTTCGAGATAAATAATTTTCAAATGATGCTTCTCCTAATCAGTTCGATATAAACAGTGGTTTAATTTTGCTTCTCCTAACAGTTCGAGATAAAACAATGGTAAAAAGATGCTTCTCCTAAACCGTTCGAGATCAACAATTTTAAATTGATGCTTCTCTAAAAAAAGTTCAAAATAAACACTATTTAGATGACGCTTATTCTATACAGTTTTATGTAAGCAGTGTATAAATGTGTTTCTTATAAACAGTTCATGATAAAGTGTTAAAAGCTTACTAATTAAGACTGAGCTATGCCTTGGAGTTTAAGTTTTTATTATTATTTCGATTTTTTTTTATATAAATCGAAATATTCGTTTTAGGTGTAAACCGCTATAGATTATACTTGTATGTCGCTTTTATTAATAACAGTGTTATTTATCACCGAAGTAGCAACAGAGTAAACTAGACAAGTGAGTCGAACCGTTTATCTCTTGGTCGCGAAACACTCATAAACTTTTCAATAAAGAAAGAACAATTCAGAGATTTACAATAACACATTGGGTTAGCTTCTTTTCTGTTCATTATAACGTTGCCGGGTTGGATAAGAGTAGTAATTCCTTCTTACCTTTTTTGGTGTATAGCGATACAGGAATATCCCGAGAAAGCAAAGGTCTATTTTGGCTTTTTTGTTGTTGTATACATTGTACTTAGTGCAAAAGTGCGGTTTTAGATTGTGAATCGACAGCTTGTGGTGATTCGAAGAGATGTTTTGTCAGTGCTCATGATTCCTGTTTCTCCAAAACTACATTGCATATATTTATTCTTAAACAAAGATTTTCAAGCCAGATACTTATGTACTCATGGTGAAATACAGTTTAAATTCGTTCAAATTACAGTGAACAGTTTATTTTAAGCTCTGTGAATAGTCCAACCGTTTTAAACGTTCTTACATCCTATGCTTCATGTGCATTTGAACCGTTATCAGCATACTTTTACTTGGCACACTTTATTTATACCGGTGCATTGTTGTTCCTCTTTCGACTTAAACTCATATTAAACGCTTTCTTTACACGTTACTCGCTTCCGTTGTAATATGCACAGTCTAACGCGCACCCCGTACTAAAGGTAACTCCATTAATACGAAACGAAACTTGTGGAACATATCTATCGGCCGGCCTCGACTCAGCATGTATTTATTACTAAACAATAAAATAAATAATTGTAAATTTCCCTTATAAGACATTAACCAAGCTTCATGAAGATGTGGAATAAAACACTGTTGAAGCTTGAAAGAACAATGACCTCCAAACGTTCATCCATTCCCGGAAGCCATTCGTGTACGTTGCCGTGATTGTCCCTCAAAGAATCAGGCACAGACATAGCACATAAGAAACCTGATACATTTTGATGGGGACTTTATTTTTATTTATGATCTATTCTCACGATCTCCTTAACGCTTGTCTCTTTCCCCCTGTGATAAATACATTTAGTTGGTGATGCTTTCTAGTTAAGGTTTTGTTATGTGTCAATTCACTCTCTACGTTCCCTCCCACTCCGTTCTCCGCTTCCCTTCACACATTGAAGGACATTAAGTTCCTGATTCATGTCTAATTTGAATGTGTTGGGTGCGGAGACCTTAGAGGTGCTGACTTCACCCAGTGTTAGCGTAGCGACATATCCAGATCAATTGTGAGGGTTTACTGTCCTCGGTCTAAAAAAAAATGACCTTGTATATCTCTTCAGGAACTGTTTTGTTCATTTTATATACCTTGCTCTTGTTAGAGTCGTTCACATTTCTTGCAAAAAAAATTTAATATATATATATTAAATATTATATTTAAAATATCCCAGCTTCATTCTCGTTGCCAATAACAGCACAACCAGTATAGTCATAGATGTGTTTGTTTTATCATCACTATTCAAAACATATTAGTGATCCTGATTTTAAATTCAAACTAGATCTATCATAGGTACGATATACAACACAAAATGATTATAATAAATGTGTATATTATTGCTATTGCAGATGTATTAATTAATACATCTACAATTTTCATTAAACTATAAAACTAGCAAGCAGAGCCACTTGTTTCGTCCGAATCTATCGTAGTATCACGTTACCAAACATCATGTGACATCAAAAGGCAGATGTGTTTTCTTTCCAGTTGAGTCATTAAATATGTTATCTCTTGCTTCATATGCTGATCCACAAATAGTTATGACAAAGCTTTTATATATGTATGTTTATATGTATATGTGTATCTTTAACATCATTCTCTGTAGTCAAGTATTTACCCGCTAATATCAAATGTTTATGAACTCATATAAGATTTTCATCTATTTCTGCTGCATTTTATTCACATTTCTTTAGTGTGTATATTATAAGCTTCATCTATCACCAATGTACAATGCCAATATTTAATCTGTACAACTCAAATGTATTCCATATATATTTCTTGATATTTCCCCAACACTTGTATGTATTTAAGTCTTGATTTTCTTAGATATGCGGTCTTTTCGTCTTTTTGAAAAGATAATATCAGTCCTAGGTTTAAACACAACTTAATTATACAGGATACGACAAAGGATTCCATTGTCATTAGGCACATGTATCTTCTCTTTTATCAAATTGTATTTTGGTATATGTTTTTGTATCAATTTTAACGATAAATTTGTATAAACAGTTGCCTATATCCTGCAAATGCAATGCATTCGAACATCAGGCAGTTAATAGTATTGCAAACGAATTGTATCATTTGGTAAGTGTACTTTATGGATACAATTAAATATGTTTAAGGAAACTTTTCAGTTGCATCGGGTATTTCAAACGCCCTGGTATATGCACTTGTCCATGCATGTCCTCAATATGTACCTGGACACGGGCGAGTAGGCTTGGTCGGATTGACGACAGTACTTCAAATGTAACTCCTGAAAGGAACGAGTTCTATTTATCTTTGTTAGAATCCTTCTGATGAGGTCGCTTTGTGATTTTCATGTAGGTGAAGAAATGAAGTTAGTGCGCGATGCAGGAAAAAATCGGAGAGATCCGAACAGAAAAGGTAGACATGCGCACTTTAGATCCATTTTTTACCATTTCTCCTAGTTTTAGTTGCTTCGATAATGTCTTGTTCAATTTCCGGTATATTTATAATAAATGTGGTCGTTCCCTCACGTTGATATTGTTGCTTTCATTGTTTGTCACTCCAGCCGTCTTTCTATCGTGATCAGTGTTTCTTCTCCTCACGTAAAGCCTGCATCAGTACGTTTCATTTAGTTTTTTTTTAACTTTTAGTAACCTATTCATTCTTTAAAATTCTCATTTTAATTACATTTAAAAAAAATATAACTCTTGCACACTTCCCACTAACTTCTATCTTTGAAATTGGAGTCTCTCCTACAAGTCTCTTGATTTTTAACGAAAAAATCTTTATCAGTAAGTTCGAATAAAAGGACACGCATCCAACTTATTAAAAAAATGTTAATATTTATTTGAAATTGTACAGGTACGTCAGTATTTTAACATACGTTTAATTCATTAATGTTTTTATTTTAAATTATCAGCACCGGAAAAAGACGTGAATAAAAGAGAAAAGGGTAAGCTAAGACATTCTGTTTCGGGTAGTAGTAGTGAGATATACAGTATCGTGCTGTTTGCACATTAACACTTTGCAAGCACTAACATACTGCACATGTTTGGTGCCCTTACCTCAAGCTTTAGCTCAATTAATGACTTCTTAGTTATTTTGTTTTATTTTTGAAATGATCAAGCTTCACAACTAACACCACGGTTTATGGTACACATCCAACATCGGCATTTGAATGTAATAACATGAATTCTACTTCTCTACCAAGTAAAAAAAAGCAGGGATACTTAGATATGTGTGACAACTTGTGTAGTTTGTCTGACATAATAGTTATATATATATTCTTTCATTGACCAAAATAGGTATTCAATGACGTCACGCATCACATGGTTATGACGTCACATTTTAGAACATCAGCTGGTATAATACTGAACATTTTGAACTTAAACGATGATCGTTTATGCTCGTTCTAGTCAGTATTAAGAATAGAATATATTTGCCTAACTTGGAGGTTACTGGGTGCATCTATGTGAGATATAGAGTAATCTAATTTTGGTGTCTCTGGTGGAACTCGTGTCTATCGACGTACGTAGAGATTAGAGAAAGTAATATTCCTTTTTGATAGTTACACATTTAAGGGCATTTGTCTGTCCAATCGTGAGAGACGGCTTTGTGTATGAATGTCCACCCGTTATATGTCTATATGCAACCTGCTCTCTTAATTGTTTGTTCATATTTCACACAGTGTAGATTAGGAAAATAGTTACACAATCTGATTTACTAAATCATTACGTTATTAACTCCACATTGACAAATACATATGCATGTTGTTGAGTGTGTTTATGTTATATTTTATACGTAGTACATGTAACTATTGATTTATGTGGCAATAAATGTTCATAATATTGATAGTTATTACATCTTAAAGCATTACATGATTGATGCCTGCATTTCATGTGTTTATGTTCTTAGTTCCCATTATTGTTGATCAGGCATCTGTTTCAAATGCTTGTAAGGTGTGATAATCAATATTTTACTTTTTATTTTGATTCAATCAAAATCTAAATTCTCGCATATACTGAACATTACGATAACATCAATCATTTTCTTTAATAACCGGACAAATATACTCAGATCTGTTTAAGAAATTTCAAACATGTTAATGATTGACGATAAGTCGAAAGTTAAATGTGTAGGCAGAAACGATAAATCATTTAACATAAACAAATATGTACGTCATAGCTTTCATTTCGTAACAGGATTTGCCCGAAGGAAATATGATCCTTATTTTTCCCGTCAACTGACGAAAATATGTATTTTGTTTATTGATTATACATAACCAACAATGGACCGGTTGGTATTCTGTGGTGTTGATACCCCTATTTAAAATGTTTCAGTAAAGGGATCTGTAAATCACAACAGTCGGGTACTTTCGGAACATCTCGTCATTTTACAGGGGCAAAACCAAAGATCACTAAATAATAAAATAGGATTAGTTTAATTGATCATTAATCCTTTGAACAGTTACAAAATCTTTGTCGATATCAATGTAAATGTAGGTAATATAAGGCAGAAATACACATAATTGCTAAAACAAAAGTCTAAATATGTCAGGGCGTTCATTATATTTTTTAATATATATTAGATGTTAAATGCCTGTGTTATTTCAAGTTTAATCATATTTGATGTTCACGAAGGGTTGCCTCTCATGGTAAAAGTGCAAATAGTACACGATTACGATAGCCAAAGATCAAATCACAAGACACCACAATCACACTGCCGTTGCCGAAATCATCTGTTAACATATAACACTTCCATATTCCCCGTGCTGATGACATAAGCCCATGCTCAATTTGTTCAAAATCACGTTCTGGTAATTTATCACATTTTTCGTTATCAGCTTGATCTGTTGCAAATAAGGGTTTAGAAGCGTTTTCGCTTGTAATAGAATTTTCCCGAAAAATCGATTTTGTTCTGGACTGCTAACATTTCTATTACAAAGGATTAACCGAGGGGAAATATCAGTTTTTATAAGAACAAACTACTGATTAATGACGGTAATATAATAAAACGTACGTATTGATCTTTTAAGGGATGGAATACTTCATGAGAGTACATGAACTTTTAACTTGTATCACAGAAACGGAAAAAGAAGTTCAAATAGTGATGACTTTTGTGAAAATAAAAATAAAAATGAAAATAAAGTAGGAAAACACATTACTGATTTAACCATAAGTCAAGTTTTGTTAAGTTACTTATTATTGAGTGAATGAAACAAAATTCTGCAGTATTGTACAATTTTAACCTTTTAAAGAGGTTGATGGATGATTTTGTGAACCCCAAAAGAACCAAAGTACTTAGATTTCTTTATCGGTTATATCTCGTATCGGTTTTATTTCATTTTCACATAAAGAAACTCAATGTTTGATACTTTTCTACACCGAATATGCTAGTAAGATATAGAGTTTTAAAAAAAAAATTAATCCTTAGGAAATTGAGTCATTTATTCGCCTTAAAAATCAAGTAACCTGCAAAATGGAAATGAATTATACGTTGTGGTAAGAAAAATCCCCTGTGGATTCAATTCCTGTTGAATGCAATCAACAGATTCATCGCCGTGGTGCTCTTTAGTCAAAATTGCTCTTCTCCGCAGCAGTGCCGAGGTGTTTTGGTGTCAATTTAAGTTGTTCCTCCCCCGAGTGACAATACCCGACACCGATGCACTGGTTCGAGTGCGGTCTACACATCAATATCAATTAAAAAACTAAACAACTGAGATATTCGGCATTGTATTTTATTTTGAATTTTTATATTATATAAAAGAAAGGTAATGCTAGATTTAGTATAATATGTGCAAGGAATAAAGTGAAATAGGCTATTTTATTAATTTTAAAGTAAACAGATGTAACATGTAGAAAACATTCTTCGTGGCCGTTTAATATGTTTTTTTTCATCAAGAAAGGTATAAACTTGTCTGTGGTATATTTTGATTTGCTAAAATATCTTCACATCCTAGCTATTGGTATGCAATGATGAACACTTAGATATAAATACGTTATATAAATACGCTTACAGATTCTCGAGATTTGTTAAATTATTTGGAGTGCAATCAACATAAAAGGAAAATGCCACCTTAGGAAACAACTGTCATGCGCCTATGGTGTTAGATGTGTTCGCTGCTTGTATTATAATACTGTCTTTGTAAATCCTTGTTTTGGCAACAATGGGCAATACAGAAATATATAACATTCATCATAAGAATTATACGATTCATCTTTTGCTTGACAACACAATGATGGACAAGGCAAAGATGAGTTACTATTATAATAACAGTGCTTTCAATACAAAAACAAACAGAGATTGCACTGAAAACCGAACGGAAGTAAAACAAAAACACACAATATACGGTATGACGCTAATTTGCTTTGTGGTTGCGACTGTTTGATTTCTATTATTAATGATAACATCCTGCTTTTAATTAGCGCCTTATATTTTACACATGGCATGGGTATGGCTTCTTTTCCTTTCAACCTCTTATTTTGCTTTTGTAGAAATGACAACAGACTGTATTAATAAATCAGATCACAAATAACACATGTACACGTGCGTTCGGGCGTGTGTTAGTATCCTCAACTTGAACGGTTGTTTGTTAAGTATTGATGACGAGTAGGTTGTTCTAATGCATGGTGTGTCTTGTATTATGGTCGCTGTTATAAGTCGTTTATAAAGAATATTATTCACGAACACTGCCAGTATTGAGCTTTTCGTTTGCTTGACCTGCATTCTCTAGCTAAGTACACCGCAAGTACATCAATAGACTTATGTACTACCCTGCTAGCCTGCCCCCTTGTGATCACTCTTCTTGTTAATAACGCATCCACGGTCTTATAATAGGTCCTGTTGAGGTGATGCCCAAATGCTCATAAGACTCCAAAGTAAACAGCAGGACATTCCTAAGTGCTATGGCTATGCTGTGGCGGGGACAAAATTCCTTCATACGACACACAACAAATTTGACACAATGAATTAAACAGGTCCCCAGGCACTCTCCCTCCCTATATATATATTTGCAAATGTTCAATTGGCATGTTCGGTTTATGATTTGGAAGTTATTTTTCTTAGTTATTTTTCGTGAATATTGCGGAATTTAATGTGTATTTGCTTTACTGATTGTCTTACGTAAGACTGGATTTCTTCCTGCTTCATTATTAGTGTCGTATGTGATTTTGATGGGTATAGCTAACATAATTACTAAATCCTACACTAACATAATTACTTAATCCTACACTAGCACTTCGCCTTGATACAGTGTATGCCAAGTTCAACAATAGAACAAAAACAACTACTAAAGTATGTGTGTTAATATTATATTTTCGTCGCCATCACGTAATGTATTTTGATGATGCTTGGTTGTCTGTGTATTGGTAATTAGGTATATATACACATGTTACTGATGCTGTTGTGTCTGCATAATTATTTAGGTGACTATTGTTTATAATCAGGTGTGTTCCTTAGTATTGTCAATAATTGAAATAATACAGAGAACAGTATTATCACACCATATCGAATCTCTGTAATTTCATTTTCCATTTTCTCAAAGCGATTATATATTCAATATCGTGTCTCTATCGAGGGGGAAACGTTTAAACAAGTCATTTTGCAATGATGAAAAAATCCAATTGAAATTGTTGAGATAAACCCTTCAAACTAGGTACATTTTTTTTCTTTTAATTCGTCATTGTCATAAGACTCGTCAATATAGTTTGTGTATGATTTTGATGTTTATTTTTTCAGACACAGTTTCGAGAAGCACTAGTAAAATGGATCGGCCAAACGGGACATCATCAGGTTCGAGAACTTTCTCAAGTACATCGATATTGATTATTCTATTAACAGTTTGTTCCCTTGTGACGAGGTGACAGACATATTGAGTGTGTTCGTTACATAATGTTGATACATATTTAGAACTACGTCACAAAACTGTACTACAAAATACCTCATAAGGTACAATTACGGCAGAGCAACATATCCTCGTATGATGCACTGCAGAAGACGCGTCCGATGTTTATTCAAAATGTGAATTTGAACTGCATCCGTCTCAGGCATCATGCCACTGAAGGACGCCCTCAGCCATCCGGAACCCCTCCGATGTCTATCAACAGGTTCGAGGAGATCCGAAGGACTGGCGCAATTGGATCGGTGATATATCTTGGTTGTGTTTGACTAAGCAGTGCTGTTGCGGAATTATTAATAGTGTTTACGCGTCATATATCTGTCATCACCGTGTGTATGCGCTGAGAGATTAGACTGCTACTTATGACGTTTAAGGGATACATCAGGCTAAACAAAGCGGTTGTCACTTAAAGTGCTAAGCTAAACAAGAATCCGCTGAACAAAATGTTGTGTCTATCATAAACTCAAGGAACTGAAATGTTCTAATGAATTATGTAGGCTTAAGGAAACATGCAACGATGCCACAATTTTATTTCATTTTATTGTTTATATGACTACGGGAATAAATTCATCAAATTCGACGATGATTTAACCGCTCATCAAAACATCCATCGTTTCATATTCATTTCAACGTTCGAGTTTTTGTCATGATTTTCATCTTGTGAATATTGAAAATGAAGTAAAATGAGTATTTTATATGTAAAAACAGAACTTGTTGAAAGTGAATGCTATCAAAGAGTAACCTGTGATATGCCCTCAGAAGACTGGTAGGTCATACATTTCGTCTGCAAATTATAAAAACACAACAAACAATGTATTATGACGAAACGATGACGTGTGAAAGTTGTACAAGTTTACGTTGGGTTATTGGTTACGCTCCATAGATAGCAAGAGCGATGTCAAGTCTTGGAATGACATCAATTTAGGACAGCAGACCTCAGTATATGTAGAAAGAGTGTTTTCGACTGCAAAACACACTATTATGCAACCACATACAAAGCATGTACATAGCTACAATGCTGTCGGAGAGATATTTTGTACATATTTATGTTACCATAGTTATAATAGATATTTCTCTGATTCGGATGTCATACGCGACCCGTTACCACACCCACACATTACAAACATAATCCTGAACTGATTATCGCATAGGTCCTGTGGTAAGCATCGTGCCTGTCGGCGATAGGTAGTGTGTCATCAGTATCTGTATTGGAGTAAGTCTATAACACATATCGTGTAAATATTCAAAATCAGAGAGGTCTGATTTGGTACTTTGACAGGAAGTGGAGAGTGTACACTTGAGTTACAGTTACTTTCAAAGCTATATATATATACATATATATTATATATTTTATGTTTGATTGTTTAAGCATACGCATAAGAAGAACGAGGAAGATTTACGCCCTTAGGACATGTGATTTGAACACTACTTGTATATCGTGTGTCAGCAGCTGTCACTACAGAACACGTGGTGTTAATTATGTACTATTGATACAAAAGAGTTCTGTTATGCCTATCCAACAACTTAACATTTGATGAGCATATAATATATAGCATAACAATGACCTGGCAACACGCCTCGAAAGATAACGGAGTCGGTGCTCCTAGAAGGATATAATACACAGTGTACAATACTACAACTGTACAATCGTAGTAGTAATATATCAACAACCAAACAATTGACGTTTGTCCTGTTTGAACGGCAAAACGCGTTGAAGTATGCAAAAAATGAAAATTGTAGAAATGAAATTAAAAAGCAAAAACCTAATTTCAATACAAATCAAACTATAAAACTGTTAACATATGATCGTGTCATCATAACACTTTGACAGAAGACTAAACCCAGTGTGAGTTATTTAAGGATTAACTTGAATATTTGTTTCATGTTATGGAGATACATATATAACACACAAAAAACGGAGTGTGCTCTAAATAAACCGCGAAGCGGTTAATGATGAGAGTACACTCCGTTTTTTTGTGTAATAGTTCCGTAACAAGAAAATTATATTCAAGTTAATCTTTATAATTTAATCTACTATACACAATCCCTGTAGAAATCCACTTTTATAGATGGACTCTTTTCTCTTAGAAATTATTGCGCTGCTGTATCAGCCAATCAAAAGCGACGTTACAAACGGCGACGTCAATTTTTGTGTTATGGGCTGATAACATATTTTTTTAAGCCAATGGAAATGCTTGTTACAAGCAAGATTAAATTATATATAGATGTTTATAATATTAGCCTCAAATGATAATAGTAAGTGCAATACAATGTTATTGATAACCCTATATGTACGGTATTTTTGTTGAATACAGTTTTACATGTTATTTGAACTAAATGTATGGCAAATATTGTGTATAAAGTCCAAGACACTTTATAGGAACAATTTGAAACAGAAATATCTATTTCAAAGAACAGACATGCTAATTTCTAAAGCGGTACGATTTAGATTTAAACTTAACTTTCTTCACAGTCAGACATTTTACACAATGAAAACGTTCTAGTTCGTTACATAAAAATAGGAAATTTTACAATCATCAATCTTTTATTTAAATTAAGCTTCGAAGAGTTCATAAAGTTAAATAAATACTTTATCAATATCAAATATTTTCAAATGCTCAGGTATGTATTGTCATTCATATTGTTCTAGGAAGAACGCCTTGTGGTTAAAATAACTAGCAGGTCGATCATAAATGTTCAAGATAACCTATCTCATAAAAAATGGTGGACGAAAGAAGCTGGTTACCTTTATTTACATGTAAAATATGTTAATTACAACAACAAAAAGGAATCAAATGACACACTGGTATATTTTTGAAGCAAACAAGATCATCTCAGGTCAGTTATTTCGTTTATTCTAGTACCACATGGAATAGCATCCGTTTTATATCTGTAGCTGATGTCGGTTCATCAGGACACCTGAATAATCACAAGTTTTGTAAGATAGCCATGTGTGAAACGTCATACAAACGTGTATGAGACGTCATGTCCGGTATTTTCTGTGTGTTGACTATTGATACAGCATGTCTGAATTTCCATGTGTATGCCGAACAATGTTAAATACTACTTTTCTAGTAGAACAAAGATTTGTGACGTCATATCCGGATAACCAGACACACATGTTTAATTACATCATACCCCGTCTTTTCTGGATGTCATGTAAGGAGAGTTGAAGTTGTATGCTAGAATGTTCATTCCATTTCCTCATTATTTGCAATAAAAAACGGGTCTGTCCCATTTAATTTATTTTCTTTATCTTCTTGTTCAATTTATCATTTTCATCATTGTTGTATATTTTAATGATGATTGAAGTCTTGTATCGTTCGCAAAAGCTTAATATATCATCCTTTGTTCAGAGTCTGAATTATACTTTTGCAACAAAATGTTCTTGATTGAACTATTAATGTCCACCTATATATGCATAATTCATAATTTTTATATAAATGTCTCATGAATCACTTTGATGGATTTTCGAAATGTGTATTGTTTCTCTCGGTTTGTAATTATCTTAAACTACGTCTATGATTATTATGAAAATTATCGATGCATGCGTTCTGTTTCAAATAGCGTTCGTATCACGAAGCATAACAATTTTGTTTATTTTAATGAATTTTGCTGGATTCACTAGACACAAAACATATATCACTGCGAATTTCCGAAACCAATTATGGAATTAAATGCAATCTGCTCCGCATGTTATATTACTCAATTTAAACAAAACAAACGTTTGTAATTCTACTTTCGCTATTATTCATATTTACGAATGAAATAAATTTCTAATCGCTTTCAAATAAAGCTAATAATCTTTGTAACAAACTGTTGCAAGAGAGGCTGTTTGAAATAATGTCATGCTACGTTAGAATCGATGGTTATAATGACTTGTTATTACAATGTTTAGAAACGAACGTGCTATACTTATATTGTAACTGGTAATAGCGCTAATAGATTACATTCGTTTGATGGTGAGAAGAGGAATTTACTATCAATCTACGTCATAATTAGAATGGTTTTATTCAGTCTAGAAACGTTTACTAGTATTAACAGTGAATGCACATGCAAGATTTAAAATGTAAAAATAAAATTAAAAAAATATGATAAATACCATCATGGACATAGATGATGACGTACATATTTATAAAGATATTTGATTTCGTCTAGCAAATTCTTAAAACTGTCTGTTGTGTATGTATAAAACGTACCGTTAATAACAGGTGAGAAATTAAAACTGTCTGTTGTGTATGTATAAAACGTACCGTTAATAGCAGGCGAGAAATTCAGGGAAACATTCAGCTACAATGTTACTTTTCTACAATACCTGACAAAGCAATGCTTAACTACCAGAGACATAGTGCCTGAAGAAAATATAACAAACGAAAAAGGTTATAAATAAGAAATGTCTAAATATAACACAAAGATACCGTTAAATACTTATTTTTTCGAGATCCATATATTTTAGTGAATATAAAGAAAGAAATCGGTCTAAAATCAAACAATTCGAAAATGTTTAATCAGATGCATACTGTTCACACATACTTGATACGCTAAATGTGTTTATGGTTATACTAGAACCGCGAATATAAATGCACAGAATATGCATACAACTTAAATGAAATTACTTTTTCGCGAATAAAATGTATTGATACCGAAGTCGAGAAAAAAAAATCGCGAAAAATAAGTGTTTAACGGTATTTAAGTAGAAATTAAATTAGTTTATCGTAATTGCTATCGTTATTAGTTCCGCATCAACCATTGTATCTGTTTGAAAAAATCGCATTCTCACTGGTTGTACAGTGATCAAGAGCGCTGTTCAAGTACACAATGTGTTGATGGTAGGCGAGTCCTTTTCAAAGGAAACTAGCGACACGTTCTGTGTTATCACTCCACTGTTATAACTGAACTATTGTTGTATGTGAAAAGAATATTTATGTACAAATAAATGAGTGAAAACTATCAATTCTACTTTGATGTTTTTTGTTCCTTTTTTAATAGGGTATAAACACTCTATACATGTGAAATGTTTACAACCACTTAAAACATTTATGATTAAATTAAATTCATCAACAAACGTTTAGAATGATGCATCTTCAAAACATTTGACAAAAATGGAAGACGCTCAGTCATGTTAAACATTTGTTGAAGCCTCTATTTCAATCAAATTCCCATGCTGCATTTTTGTCATATTTGTGATATTTTCAACTTTTCAATTTTTGCATGAGCTATTAATACCAACTTGATAAAAACGTTAACAGATTTGCAGCAAGAAATCACTATTTGTTAATTTCAAACGATCTTATGAAAAAGTAAGAAAGATGCGAAAAGCGTTCATTATAAAATGTTCCAAACTTAATCGTGTATGATACTGTAAAAGTACCTATTTTAGAGTACACATTGTTTTAGTGTAGTATCGAACCGTAACAGGCTAGCGTATTAATAAATTAGCGCGCTTAGATTATATACAATAGAACTAAAAAAACTTCTATAACCGCAATCTTTTTTTCTAAACATTTTCTTCAGGCTGGTAAGTATGGATTGTGAAAAGATTCACGTAGCACAATAATAAGGGTTTCTGTGTGAAGTTGTGATGACTAGTACGGTTTGTATTCTGTCACCTTCTTCATGCAAATAACCAGTCAAAGGGTATGTACACAAAGCTGTATGCCGCAGTGGGCAAGATCTAAATCGAGATGTGGGGCTCATAGACTCTCGCACATCTATGACCAAGTATTAAACAACTCGTAGCTGAATCGAGTAATCGGTATATATGTAACAACTAATTGTACAATTGCTTACAGCGTAGCCGAATCGAGTCATTTCGTCACATAAATAACAACTAATTGTACATACGCTTACAGCGTGGCCGAATCGAGTAATCGGTATGTATGTAACAACTAATTGTACAATTGCTTACAGCGTAGCCGAATCGAGTCATTTCGTTACATAAATAACAACTAATTGTACAATTGCTTACAGCTTGGCCGAATCGACTTAGATTTGTTGACAACTCGTTCATGTTTACACCTTTTTGTACATACGCGTCATTGGTAGCGCAATCACAAATTTATTTGTTTAAAGCATGAACAGTGATAAAATAAGAATACCGCTAAAAATGTACATTTACAGTACTTTTTTATGAAGACAACACACTCAACATTTTTATCACAGTAACAGGCAAATATGACACTAATGAACATATCAAAGGATTTCTCCTTCATTGACTATTCATAAAACAACTTAATTAGTTTCATTGCGTGAGCCAAATTAAATACTGCTACAATGTAAATAAATATTATACCTAAGAAATGAGATTCATGTTCTATTAAAATAATACATTAATTATCTTCATTAAGTTTACAAATTATAAATTACGAGAAGTATAGACGAAAACATATGACGTTTCAATTAAACATTCTAAGATAGGCATTATAATATCATTTAGCTGTTTCAAATTTGACGTGGATTTGGCCACGTTTCATTTAACATACATAAGCATAGTAAATGCATTAAATGACGTTGATTTATGGAAAGAATTCAGCTATATCCTAAATATATATCAATGAATCAATCGCCTATAAGATATTTGAGTAGATTTTTAAGATGCTGCCTCTCAGAGTTCGGTGATAAAATTTAAAAAAAAAGCATTTTGACATAAGTGTTGAAATCTCCTAAAAAGTATCTCCCTGCCTACCATCAAGACCCAATGGCTTTAACGTATGGTATCCTATAGCCTATCAGTTACTTTCAAAACGTGAGCAAACTAAAAAAAATTTTTTTTAAAAGAAGCCACTCTTCTACAGCAAATATTGTACAACCATCAAATACATCTCTCCAAATGTACGGCCAACCACGATAGTTTGTAAAAGTAAAACAATGCGTTCACTGTTCACAGCGAACCCCTAGCAATGCATGACAACCTATTGTAGTAGTTCCCTCTTCCATAGATAGAGTGTTTATAATTACTGATCTTGTATACCCTTGTCAACACATTGTACATACAATGACACAAACCCGACTGATGACTAATAGTCACTACATTGTTTCATGTAACATGGCGTTATGTCATAATTAGCGTGACGTC